CCCTCGCTTTGTTTGTTTCTTGTGCTCGCCAGTACGAACTTTCAATGACCTCTTAGTTTCACCGATATAGGATTTCCCGCACCCACAGGGTATCCGGTAAATGCAGTCCGCACAGTCCGTGTTTGGTGACTTGGTTTTCGTAAGGCTCCTACGGATAATGTTTCCGGATCTGAGGCAGGCTCTGATGTTGTACTTGGACCCAATTTTACTCATTCTTTCTGATAATCCTCTGATGTAGGGAGGTGCACGCAGTGATTGTGATGGCATCTTAGCATTGCCGAGCACAAGAAATAAACACACCGAGAAAGCATGTTTGGGCCCATCAACATAACATCAAGTGATCCTAAGATGATATCATACACAGGGAGGAACACTGGTTTAGGAGGGTATTGAAGAAAGCCGCATACAAGTTGTCGAACAATGTATTCAGCCAAGATAACGTAGAGATACGCATCGTATGGAAACCCACAATCAAGCGAAAAATGGCCAACTCTTGCTAGTCATCTACCGCTAAATCGATGAAGCGGACAGAGGAAATGAGTGGAAGTACTCGAATGACTCATAAATACTCGTCTCTTGAGGAATTATTCCAGTCATCAGCCGAAGACGATTGTGGATACTAACAATCGAAATGTTAGCTTGAAGTATTGTGGTAAACTTGCTGAAAGTTTATATGTGTCAGTGATTTGAATTCATTTTTCAGCAATATAGATCATCAATTGGGAGTTTGTTCTTTCATGGGGACGTATTTGTTGATTCTTTTTTCATTCTGAGTGGTTTGTTGGTAACCTATACACTATTATCAGCATATGAAAAGCGTTTCATCAATCCTGGACTGATAATACTAACGAGATATGTGCGGTAAGTTCTCAATCAACTGTTACACAAATTTAGAATTGTTCGAAATTGTGCAGAAAAAATGTATTTCTCTCTTTGTTATCATGTCACGTTCAACAGAGAATCCAAGGATCCAAACATAATATCATTGTCAAGTTGATGACGTATCTAAATATGAAATTCATTCATCAAGTAATGTTTTCTTCATAAGATTACAATATAATTTTCTGCATGATTATTCCCCATATTACACACTTCTAGGACCTATATTCAATTGTATTCACATTGAAGTGTTCAAGTCAACATACTCAAATATCATTTCATAATACTAATGAATTACCCAATATCATTCAACGATGAAACGATATTCCAACCTGAACTCAATGTCTTCAAACTTGGTGCTCTGCCTATTCTTCTGAATGTTGAACAAATTCAAGATTTCGGTTGATTCAAAACTAGACATTCACTCGGTAGAAAGAAAGTCTAACTATATAGTCAGGCGTAGACGTCTGAGAGATTTTTCATTTCAACTGAAATTATCAAACTTGTAGAAACCTGAACGAAATATTATCCAATTGAAGTCATTCAACAAACAGAAATTCAATGATGATAATCAACGAATTCTATCTTTAATTAAATGATCTTAATCAACAAATTCTATCTTTTTTTAAATGAAATCAGAACAATGTGTTTATGAAATCTATATACTCGGAGATGTGATTATTATCTGGAAACTCCGGACAAAAAGTTTCAAATAGGTGATAGTTCCAAATGAATATAAATGGTCGAATATCTATTCAAAAAAGAGAGGCAGTCAACCAATTAATGTTTTTAATGGAGAGAATTATGAATCTAAAAATAAGTTCAGTAGTGAATAAGTTATTCACACACACATTTTTTCATTTCAGTTTAACTCCACCATATGCCATGGTCATTTTCTATTACGCCACTTTATTTAAATATACTGGACAAGGACCAATGTGGAATACAATCATCGTACCAGAAGTTGAAGACTGCAGAGCAAATTGGTGGACAAATTTATTATATATCAGTAACTACATTGAAGTTGATCATATGGTGAGATATTTTTCATATTCCTCAAACATTTTCGTAACACATTACTGTTTTGCCATGGTGTATCATGGTTATCTGTATAGAAAAATTCACCTTGTGAAGTAACGAAATATGAAAATTCAATGTCTCCCCAATTGAAGATACTGAACCCAAAAACTAATCATTCATGATACAATACTAGACACTGCTGATTTGACTTGCCGAGGTTTCATTCTGGTGCTAGGCTGAATGAAGAACGTAATGTTGTTGCACTCAACAGACCTCAGAAAACATGCCTGACTGAGAGAAGGCACAATTTTTTTTCCTACGAAAACGCAAAACAGCACTGTCTGGTATGATGTATTACAAATGCTCTGTTTTCAGGCTTTCGTTTTATTCATTCGCTTCGAAATTAAAGCTATGGTGAAAATCAGAGACCGAATATCATTGGCGGTCAATGTCCGAGTTGAGCTTCACAACGAATCACCTTGAAGGTCCTCGTTTATATTCGTGAATCGGGTCTTTTGTAGATCCCGTAGATAGCGTCTTCTTGACGACGTCTTAAGATGTATCCAATCAAATGAAGTACAATTCTTCTGAAACTTGCCAGTTGAACAACACTGCTACTCTATTTTTTTCTCTAGTACCTTAGTGCATTCCTAGTTTTCTCTCTTCATATTGCCTTACATTTTATTCATTCAACTTTCAATGCACTATTTGAAAAATTTGGTGCAGTAATGAATATTACTGTTATTTCAAACACCTCGATACGTGTTTCGATCACCAAGTGATCATCTTCAACAAAATATATTAAACCAAATGTACATACAATATTATCCTCATGTATGCCATAGATACCTCTGCTAGGCACCTGCGTCTTAATTGTCCTAAATTAATTTCACAATGTTGCCTTATCTAATAGTCCGGTAAATCTGATGAGTGAAATATCATTTTAACAATCTTTATAGTATACTATTAGGCATTGGTTCACCATTCTTATTCATGTTATTATTATTATTACTTATTTTTACACTCTCATAGGTCTCTCAATACCTGTAGTTATTAACTTGTCTAACTAATCTTAATGAACTGAAGTCAATGAAATGGTTTTGTTACAAAATATGATGTGCGACTGCTGACTTTTATGGTATTTCATATTTTAGGTGTGCTTAGTGTTCCTTATATCTTATTTCAATAGATCTTGTCTGTTTATGATATTTTCCATCGCAGTAATCACATTATATTTCGTAAATTCCAGACTTTTCCGAATTCTCGACTTAGTCCTTTGTATTTTCAAAAAGTCTCTGTAGTATATGCCCTGTTTCAAATACCACTTTCATACCTAGTTCCTTCAGCATCTTTCCAAAGTTCTTCGGATATTGGTGGTATGGAACTGAGATATATTCATCTTGGTTTTCGTCGTTTCTGAAAGTCGAGATTTCGTTCATTCTTAACTCAAACTTTTTCTTCCTCATAATATCATCTACAATGCCCCTCGAGAAACCCTTATTGACTGCTATTTCCTGTATTGTCCGTTTTTCATTTGTGTGAACGTAAATGTCGAAGATACTGTACTGTTCACAGTGATGTGAACTGTCAGGAATATACTTGTGAATGATTGTTTTTTTTTCTAAATACATCGTATTCTATTTTTCCACATTGACTTTTCATTACCAAAACGTGGAAATGAGACGCTAGAAAAGTAATAACTAACATCAAAGGAAAACAAAATTCCACCTTCTTGCAGAACGATGTTTTTTGTATATTGCATGAATTCTAAGAAGTTTTTGATACGAAAACCTGGTTAGCGGATTGACGCTAGTAGTGTAACAAAGAGACTTCTGGCGCAAACGGGAGTGGGGGACACGTCATCGAAATCGACGCAGGATGGAACGAGTATAGTAGCGATTTAAGCGTGGAACTCCGCCCTCGGCCCCCTTAGTACTCCACATCACTGCTCAGGCCCCCTTGCGACTCTTCCTCACCCCTCAGCCCCCTTGTCACGTTCCAGTCACGTGATTTTAATTAAAAAAAGTTTATAGTTATGAGATTCGAACCTGGATCGACCGCGCCGTAGACATTGTCCTTAGCCTCCACACCATCGTAGGATATTGAAGTTGACTGCGAATGTTGGGTATTTATAGCGTTAGTTTTGTCGGGACCAAAATTGACTCATTTATTATACTTGACAGCATTTTTTTTTATTTCCATAGAATGTCATCGTCATTATCATACTGAAGATAGGAAAATATACTTAGATTCGGGAAATAATTAATATTTCATGTAAAGATGTGTATGTGTGTGTAAGAGCGAGAGGCGCGTGTGACGTAAAAGATGCAAACAGAGATGGAGATCGAGGTTTTACCGGTTGCTAGTGCAAGCAGGTGTTGCCAGTTGTACAATAAATCAATGTTTATGGAGTAATNGACATTCTCTGACTTGGTCATTTTCTTATCGCTCCGTGCATGTTCAGAAAGAACCATTTTGGAAAATCTGTTTATTAGAAACCTCATTGAAGATTAATTTTCATAAGGTTTCATTTCATGTGGAAAAAGTGCCTGTTAGTTTCTTACTTATAGAGTATTGCTATTTTTTGTTTGTGGCTCTTTCACCCTTTTCAAGGATCAGAGAACTTCACGTGAGTACGCCATTTTTGTCAACCTTTTCCGTCCATTTGTGCTTTTTTGAGACGTTTTCTCATTTTGATTTTCTCCTATTATAGGAAGATCTGTCTGTGTGTGAAAAATACTGAAATCTATTTTGTAGCAACCGAAGAAGAAATACTTGTCTCCAGTATTTCTCCGGATTTTATTGGAAATAAAACCCTTCTGAACTAGAAGGTAAGTTGCTTTAATTTGAATGGAGTGTACCTAAAGTGTCTTGTGTAAAATATTTGTTGTTTTCATTTGGTTTTCCTAGTATACGGTCACTGGACTTTTGCCAATAAAAATGTATAGTATCATAGTAACGTCTAATCATAATTCATTTTATTTTTGTTGTTGATTCTTCTGCTGGAAATCAGTCCGTTAATGTTTACTTTCGATAACTTCAGTAGATTCTGGCCATGTTATTATATCTATTAGAAACCTTTTGGTTTATTATTGAAGGTTGATAAAATAAAATATTACTTTTCATATCGATCACAGTTTTACGGTGTTGCCACATTAATGCAAAGTTCCTAAGGATGCTACTTTTGTATTATGTAGTTAGGATAATTTCAATAGAGATCAATGAGGATTTTTTTTCTTTGAAGGGTTTTTTTTTGGGTACCGTTTTCCTGTAGGAAGAATTTACGCCAGACCAACAACCACTCTGGAACATTTTGACTACCCATCTTGGCGGACTCTGTAGATTCAAGATTGTTGTTTGGACTCGGGAGCGGAGAAGACGCGCAAGTACCTGAAACACAAAAAAAACTATTGACCATATTTTTTTATATTATTTATATTATCGTGATTAGTAACTTACTGTTAATTATGTAAAGCGGAAATTAAGTCGGATTTTGATCTAGTTAATTTTTTTTTCGTGATACTGCGTCTGCGCTCTGGGCCCACAGCAAATGACTTCGGAATCCTTGTAAAATATTCTTGAAAATGACTTACCTGTGGCTTCACTTCCTGCTCTTTGTGTATTTAATATTGATATATAAGTAACTAACTAAAAATACTTAGCTGGCTTTACCTTTTTTTTATTGAGAATTTTCAAGGTAATTAGTAATGAAACTTAGAAAGTTATTAACTCAGTTTGGCTTTTAAGTATTGATTTGAATTTGTTTAAAACACATGGATCACATCCATGAATGCTAAAAGTTTTCTTAACCTGTGCTTATTTTGTTTTAAATATCCAAGTATTAAGGTTATACTGTACAATTTATTTTTACGTTATCAATACACTAATCTATTGGAATGGTGTATGGTCAATTTTATTTCTTTTCTCTTGGTAAGTTGGGGAATTGGTACAGATATTAGTGGGATCTTTTGGCATTTTGATTCACCTGGCGCCCAAATAAAACAAAAAAAAATATAACATTTGTAAACTCACTCCCGTCTCCTCTGCAGTGAACCGGTATGCCTTGACTGTCATCGTGACAGCCCACCAATTGTAATTTCAAGTTGTGAGTTTACAATATTTTCTTTGAAAGTTAAGTTGGCGCGGAATATGCCGATCAAGAATCTCGTACAACACAGAATAAAAACCCGAGTTATGGTACTTACCACACCAATTGCCTCAAGAGCGAAGAGCACGGTTCCAAAAAACAGGGGATAATTCTTGTAACTTCCAAAGGGTTCTCTGTTTTCCCAGACGATATCCTGTTGAACCATGAAGTAAACAATAATACCAAAACTGATCATGGTTACTATGTTTGCGAAGGATGAAACTGGAGTTAAGAATTTCAGATTCTTCACATAGTTTATCAGTATCAAAGGTAAGAGGAAGATTAACATAACCCATCTTGCGTCGATGTGTATATCGTTTTCCTTTAAAACCAGGTGAATATTCTCGCCAATGAATACTGTGTAAACTGTCCCAGTACCCAGCTGATATATCAGGAGGAAGACGTTGATAATATGCCTGGAAAATGAAACAAAAATGAGAAAACTTTAACGGCAGGAATTCAGTGATTGAAATTTTGAATTTGAGATAAAAGTTACAGACATCCACTACAGATGAAATTGTTCCCTGGAATGGATTGAACAGGGTGGATTCTGTAAGTTGTCAGTAGAATATATAAAGAAAAATTACATCTGAACGATAAGATCAAGATATTTTCTTGGATTGAAAGACTGTTTATGAATCATAAAACTTGTTTAATTATCTGAATATAAGAAAACTATTGACTTTTTGCACACATTAATTACATAAAATATTGAGTCGAAGTGAAAATATTAGTTTAGTGAAATCATTTTTTTATTAAATTTCGAGTTATAGGAAGTGGGCAGGTCCTTCACAATGATTATCCAGATGTTGTGCAGATCGTAATCATTATCAAAACCTCTGCCATGTCTGTTCGACTTTCTGAACGCAATGAACTGAAAAATTACCTACCGAATGGATTTTCATACGTTTCATATGTTTTCATACCAAAAAATAGTACTTTCATACCCATGAAAGTAGCAGAAGATTATACAGTGTAACCAATTTTTAATGGAAACACCCCCCTAAAATTTGAAGTTGTAAACCGATTTTAATAATTTTTTTTTGAAATGTCAAGTACTCAAAGGTCTACCTTGGGACAAAATTTGAAAGGTTTATTGAAGTTTCAGCGCATACTACGATATTTTTTCTTAGTCGAAAATCGGGATTTTTTATTAGCGATTTTTTATTGAAAAAATCACTACGCCACTGGATTCAGAGTGCCTCTAAACGGGTGTGACCAAAATTTCATGAAAAAATATTCATTATTAACAAAGTTATGACAACTCAAAAATTCGAAAACTCACACAGCTAACAGTTACAA